ATATATATGTATCTCAGAGAAGATATATATATCTTCTCTGAGTCTTCCCAATTATACACAGCTATTAGAAAGTAGTCACTCCGGAAAATCACTGATATGCATGACAATCTTAGCCCAGCCCAGTTTAAAAAGGAACTAATTACCTGTAACATTAAGATTCTAGATGGAGTTCAAATTAGGTCACTGTTTCTGAAGTCATGTATTTTTCCCTAAAGGATTTCATAAATTATAAACTGCAATACACGTAAGGCATTATTATTTTTAAAGCCAAATGTATTACTTCATTAAGCCCTTGAGCAAAAGATGTTCTCACTCCCATTGATGGGTCTAACTTATGCCAGATGAGAAAAGAAATCAACCAGTTAGTAGATTTGTCTACTTATTACCAACCCTCAAGTCTAACTGAGAATTAGGTACACTTTAACTGAATTTTCTAGATTCATTGGCATCAGGTAGATACATCCTAACTGAATTCACCACTGAATTATACAAAACAAAATTATTGGCAGATGTTAACTCTCAGTGAAATTACTAAATCAATAAATCTACCGTTCCTCTAGTAGGGAGTCCCTGGGTAGCACATATGGTTAACGCACTTGCCTGATAACTGAAAGACTGGAGATTAGAGTCTACCCAGCGTCGTCTCCTGGCAAGAAAGTCCTGGTGATCTACTTCTGAAAAACCAGCCATTGAAAACCCTAAGGAGGACAGCTCTTCTCTGACACATATGGGGTCACCAGGAGTTGAAGTTGACTAGACAACAACTGGTTATCCTACTAGACTCTGTTCCCATAGGTGAGGGATCAATGTACCTCTCATTAACCAATCACAAAGCACAGAGGTAGCTTCTATCTCACTTCACATGTGACTGTGTTACCTAAACAGTGCCAAGTTACCGCATTAGGATGAGCAAAACCTGTTGGTGCAGTGGGTGCCCAGACACTTCCAGGCACTGAGAGGGACCCTCAAAAGAAGGGTCTCTGTGAAATCAGAAAAGACACCGCTAAAGACAGACTTGGAAAGGGCTCCCTCTGCAAATTTTTCTCCCCCTCAGGGAGTCCATTATGTATGTATTCATCATGGTTCTTCAACAGTCAAGGAGTTATCATCTCTGAGAACAAAGAGGAAATGTTTGAGTTGCAGCCTACAATCCACACACTTTTTGGACACTCTTTGTGCTTTAGGGAGAAAGGGCAGGAATTGGTGAAATGACCAAGTTGTAAGCAGCCACAGATTTATGCTCACCACCAACTGTAAACGAGAAAACATTATCATGAAACTCTTTTAAGTACATGCGTAATGATCAAGACACTCAGATAAGTCGCCAAATCTCTAAAATTATTTCAGCCAGCTCTTATGTTTAGTGCCTGTTTCTATGGATTAAAACTATTTGGCTGTTTTCCACTCCCCTCCTGCTTTGGGCTTCAGAAATGTATTTTTAAAAAAAAAAACAACAACACTGTGCTCAGGACATCATCTGTTTTGGGTGATTTATAACTGATCAACTATACTGATGTAGACAGATTGAACACTAAGACAGCTTGCAAGGCAACCGTTACGGAGCTCCTACGCTCAGCCAGTTCTTAGGCAAAGACTTTGAAGCTCAAGCCTCAAATTCTTCAGTGATGAGCCTGAAAAGCACCTAAACTGCAGTTCCAGTTTGAAGTAACAAAGCAGAATGTCCATTATTACAAGAGACAGAGTCAGTAAATTGACTTGGGTAAGCAGATTGGTTTCTTGCTAAGACTGACAAAAAAAATTGGGTTAGGAAAACATGTTCAACACCCATGGCTATTGCTCTCCTCGCCTTTTATACAGCACTTGGCATATTCTGCCATGTGGTGCTCTATAGCTTTTATTTAAAATGCCCTGGTTGTCTCTAAGAGAAGGGACCAGGTGGCAATTTACTGGGCCCTCCATGGACTTCAGTTCCAATGCAGCTTACCCTCTGGGGAAACCAAGGGGGCCCAGCAGTATGAAAATAGAGAATTGTGAAGCCCCCAAATGACTCAACAAGAGTCCACTATCCATCTCTACAGAAGGGAGACCGGGTCACGTCCATAACCTGGCAGCACCCACTGGGCTGTCCATACTTGGTAGATGCTTCAGAACAGCAACTAGAATGATGTTTGTGCTTAAAGAAAACAGAGAGTAACCCTTTCCTTGGAGCTGAACTGTTCACAGATGTGAATCAAGTGCATCCTCTTAGGATTTGTGTGACAAGGCATTTAGAGGGCTCCCACTTCTGCTCTGTGCATGTCATTGTAGATGTTTCTCTTCTGTCCTTTAAAATAAAATCGTTAGAGTGCTCTGATTCTAATCAAGACGGCATCTCTTTCCACACCCCTCTGAACTGCCCAAAATCCTACCAATTTTTTCTGAGGGAGAACTCTAAGAGGATAGGAGTTTGGTCACCTGAGCAGGACCCACCAAGTTTACCTGCGCGGTCTGGCTGCATGAATGCCGTTGTGGAGGTGTGGGGGAACAGGGCCAGGGTGTCGCGGTGAGTCCCTTGGAGGTGGATAGTGTTCCCTTGGAAATCAACTCCATGCATGTCGGTGTCGGTGCCCATTCCAATCATATGCCAGGAGACTCGATCCTTTCTGCACATGGTTAGGCCTGGCTGGTTGCCATACATATAGCCATTAATAGCTAAGTGAAAGGAAAAACATAGTCAGAGTCCGCTCTAATTATGCTCACAAACTGAAAACACATCATCTTGGTGAAAGATAGGGGTGTAAATGGGGAACATGGGCAGACTGCAAATGTGTAAACTATTTACAGAAGATCTTTGTTACCGGAGAGTAAGTGGTACTGGGGAAAAGATACACAGGGAGTCCATTTAAAATTGTTGTTGTTGTTATTGTTAGGTTGCGTCGAGTTGGTTCCGACTCATAGCGATCCTATGTACAACAGAACAAAACACTGCCTGGCCCTGCACCATCCTCACAATCGTTGCTGTGTTTGAGCCCATTGCTGGCAGCCACTGTGTCAATACATCGACTCTACTTTGAGGAGGCAGCTCTTCCCCAGTGGTGTTTTGAGTGCCTTCCAATCCGAGGGGCTCATCTTTCAGCACTGTATACCAGACAATGTTCTGCTGCTATTCATGAAGTTTTCACAGGCCAATTTTTTTTTAGAAGTAGATCGCCAGGTCCTTCTTCCTAGTCTGTCTTAGTCTGGAAGCTCTGCTGAAACCTGTCCACCATGGGTGACCCTGCTGGTATTTGAAATACCGCTGGCAATAGCTTCCAGCATCACAGCAACACACAAGCCACCACAGTATGACAAAATGATAGACGAGTGGTGGATTTAAAATGGAGACAAAAATTAATAATGAATAATGAAAATATACTAAAATTATGAAAATATTCTACTTAACAGCACTAAATCTAAGAATCAACCAGGAATACATCAGGTTGTTTTGGGGCATAATTATTCTGAGTTAGTCACCACCATTTACAAGGCGGTTTGCTATTGTAACAACTGATACCAGACAGAGAGCAAGGATTAAGTAATTCCTCCCAAATGAAGATCTGGGATACCAATGGATAGCATTTTACAAATTAATGCTTTAGGCAGTCACCCATACTACTTGATAAGAGATATTTTGCTGCATAATGATTATCTCCAATTATCACTGAGTGTTACCAGACTTAATGATGTTAATGTGAAGCCAAGGGAGGGTATTTTTTCCATCATTTTCTACATTTTGATGTAATGTTATCTTTGCAAGCTCAAATTTTATGTTGCTTCATCTCATGCTGATAAACTGTATTAGAAGTATTAATTAAGATTCACAGTATCTCTGGGAGATAGGGAAGTTTCACCATACCTTGTGAAGCTGAAGGCATGGAGTAACTTACTACTCGTGACCAAGAATAATCCCCAAGAAACAGAATTTAAGATATTTATAACATTTCCCAAGTATTTTCACTTCAAATGCAATTAAGTCTTTGTTTTACAGGAGGGAAGTTTTTTATACCATGCATTCGGTTGGATTTCACAAACTCTTTGTCCTCTTTGTCAACAGTGAAGGGATGCTGGGTAAACTTCTGAATATTTTCATCAAGATACCTGCTCAGATTCTCATCAAAGACTGTGAACAGCAGGTAAAATTCCTTGTCTATTCCTTTCTACAGGAAGAAAGAAATGAATACATAAAAAGTACAGCTTGTAGGAATTCTTAGCACTGTTTCATTTTCAAAATTAACACAAAATGGGTTAGGATCATCGCCTTGTCGTTTTGTAAAGAGCACGATTCTGATGAATACATTCCACACCCAGGGAATTCTTCTTTATCAGTATATCCTTCCCCCTTCCTATGTGACTTCCTCAGAGGAAATAAGTCCTTGCTCAAAACTTTCTAATCTTTGGTATGCCCGTTCCAGAATATCATCGTCTTATTCTCCTTACCATGTTCTACATGCCCCGGCCTCAGTTTCTCTCTGACTCCATCTCCTTGTGCTCACTGCAGCTCAGTCCAGCCACCCTGACATTTTGCTTTTCGACCAACACACCAACCTCACTTCTGCCTCAGGACCTTTTCATATGCTGTTCCCACTGCCCATAAGGTTCTCCGCCTAGGTCTTGAGTGGCTCACTCCTTTATTCCATTCAGTTCTCTGCACAGATGTCACCTCCTCAGAGAGACCTTCCCCAACCACTGCCTCTAAAACAGTTGCACACCCTCCATCCTGCCCACAAACTCACTCTCTCTTCTTTACCCTACTTTACTTTTCTTCATTGTACTATCTCCATCTGAAGTTATGTTTTATTTATTAACTTACATTTTTACTATTTCTCCCACTGCAGTGTAGGCTTTGTGAGCGTAGAGATAGTCTGTGTTCCTCACTATATCCCCAGCTCCGAGAATAATGCCTGGCACTCAATAAATGTTTGTGCATGAAATAATGAATTTATATCAATGATGAGACTTTGCTAAACTATGTCAATTTGAGTTGATATTGAGGGGCCTATGGATTACTTCCCACTGTGTATATTCCCAACCAAGCTGATTTGAGCATATCTGACCACAGAGTGTCTTGAATTGCTGAAAAAGGTTTTTCTCTAAACCTGAACCAGAGAGGTGACTATTTTCTGTCCCTCAGTGTCTTCCTACCTCAACATGTTCTCCCTTCTGATCCATCCTCTATCCTGCTGCCTGCCCCAGAGGGATCCTCAACAATGCCATCTAACCTCATCTCCCTCCTCCTCAAATTGGCGATACAGTTTAAACTGACAATGATCTGGTCCCCCGCTACCTGCTCAGCCTCATCTCTTGACCCTTCCCTCCTGGCACTTTGACTGAAGCAAGGCCAAGTTCCTTGCAGCTCTCCGAACTTGCAGTGTTCTGCATGCCTTTGTCCGTTGTGCATGTATCTCCTCAACCTGGACAGACTGCCACCCTTTCTCCTTGCAAACCCCTAATCCAACCTTGAGTCACCTCTGTGATGCTTTCCTAGCTCCTCTCAAAGATATGGGTACTCCTACTGTACCTTATGTATATTTACATTATTGCTTTATTATGTGTTTTAGAAGCAGTGGTTTAAGATCATGGGCCATGGAAAGAAACATTGTAGGTTTGAAATTTTTCAAAATAAAATATAAAAAATTGGGGAAAAATAAGGGATCAAAAAATATATATAGATATATTTAAAAAGCTTATGGCAATGGGAGTAGGCAGACCTAGGTTCTGATGCCTGTTCTGCTTACTTGTAGTGAAACCTGGGGCAAGTGATTTACCCTCTCTAAATCCAAATTCCCTCATTCGCAAAGGAGCATAATTGTTGTCCCCACCTCATGTTTTTTGTGAAGATTAGATAATATAGTAAAGCACTCAACAGAACACCTGGAAAATATCAAGCACTCAGATGGACATCCAGTTTTGCCAGCACCATTTGTTAAAAAGACTGTCTTTTCCCCATTTGATGGACTTTGAGCCCTTGTCAGAGATCAGGTGACCACAGGTGGATGGATTTACATCTGGGTTCTCAGTTCTGTTCCATTGGTCAATGTGTCTGTCATTGTACCAGTACCACGCTGTTTTGACAACTGTAGCTGTAGAGTAGAGGTTCTGAGGTCAGGTAGTGCGAGTCTTCCTACTTTATTCTTCTTCTTCAATAGTGCTTTACTTATCCGGGGCCTCTTTCCTCTCCATATAAAGTTAATGATTAGTTTCTCCATCTCTTTAAGAATGCTGTTGGTATTGGGATTGGGAATGTAGATTTCTTTGGGTAGAATTGACATTTTCACATTGTTGAGTCTACCTACCCATGAGCATGGTATGTTTTTCATTTATGTAGATCTCTTTTGGTTTCTTGCAGTAGTGTTTTGCAGTTTTCTTTGTATATAGGTCTTCTACATTCCTGGTTGGATTTATTCCTAAGTATTTTATTTTTTTATGGGTTATAATAAATGGTATTGTTTTCCTGATTTCCTTTTTTGTCATTATCTTTATTGGTGTATAGGAATCCACCTAATTTTTGTATGTTTATCTTGTATCCTGCTACTCCATTTAATCTTTCTATTAATTCCGGTAGTTTTCTCGGGGAGTATTTTGGGTTTTCTATTTGTAGTTTTATATTCCGCAAATAGGGACAGTTTTACTTCTTCCTTACCAATTTGGATGCCCTTTATTTCTTTTTCTTGCCTTATTGCTCTAGCTACGACTTCCAGCACAATGTTAAATAGGAGTGGTGATAAAGGGCATCCTT